GCCATCCCCTCTCTGGCAGCTGCCAGACAGCAGTAGTGTTCACAGCAGGAGGAGTGAGTCAAAGGACAGCTGACAAGCAAAATCTTTTTAGATGCATCACGTCAGGCTCCCTCCTGTGAGCTCTTCCTGGAAGTTTGCCTCTTGGGCTCTGTGCAAGGCTGGCTCGATGGGACTGGCACAAATGCACACGTGTGTGCAAGCACACGCACAGTGTCTCACCTCAGCCAGTGTGGTCAGTCGCTCTGCAAAATAAATAGGGAAGGCAGGAGCACACGTGCCATCCTCTGTAAACAAAGGATTGGAAGAACCTGGGCTCCACCTCCCAGGACTGACGGATAAAGTGCTTTCTCAGAAGGGGTTCAGGCACAAACACGGGGCTGCCCTTATTTCCGGAAGGGCGTCAGCCTGCTGATGTTCTGCCAGAAGTTCGAGGGCTTGCGCTTGGGCTCTGCCAGCATGAAGACTTGCTGCTGAGGGAGCGTAGTAGGCAGGGTGGGATGCTTCTGACGCATCAGGAAGTCGTAGTATGGCCTGGTGACAGCTGTGATGAGGAGGAGATCGGGAAGCAGGTTAGTTGAGCACGCAGCTCCCTTCCCCACCCGCTGCCCCGTGCCTGTTAAAGCTGCAGGGGAGTGAATTGGGTTTGGTTTAGTATTACCCTTAGTTTCAGCATGGCATTTTAGGATTAGACTTGATGCTGGGGAAGTCCTAAAAGTACAAAGCGTACACAGACAGGTGTTCTCTCAACACGACAGCAAGGCCAAAGAGCTGTAGCTTGTCATTAGTGACAAACTTAACCGGTGCCTTTGGTTGTTTCAGGAGAAGCAGCTGATGTGCCTGTGCCTCTGTTGCCTGTTACAACTTCCTACACTGGGTTTCTGAGTTGTAATGGCCAGTGCCTACCTGCAGACAGGGCTGGCTTGTGGGGCTCCTGTACAGCTCTGCCTCTAGGGCTTTGCTCTGTTGGAGAGGTCTGGCCTCCTTCCAGACTTCCCTCTGCAGCCAAATCTTACTTCTGACTTATCTGGAAATTTAGCCAAGCTTTCTCACTGGAGGGTTGGCTAGGATTTAACTGCTGGCTGGTACCACCAAGCGGAACTGGTTCCCTCTCTGTGGGTCCAAAGGAAAGCAAGTGACATCCCTTCCTCTGGATATAAAGAGGGGTGGTGGCATCACAAAATAGGGTAGCAGGAATCTTGAGCTGACAGTGCTGCAGGCACAGGAACTGTCGTTTCTGTTGCTTGAGTTCACTCCTCTGGTGCTGCTGAATCTTTCTTGTCTCTTGAAGTTTTAATGAACAGGTTTGTCAATGAGCATGGTACCTACCTGTGGCATTCTGCCAAAATGACATCTTCCACAGGCACACCTGCCCAGGCAGGAATAGTCCCTGCCACCTTCGTGACCCTCTTTGCATCATGGGGATCACTACAAAACTTAATCTTGTCTTTTCACAAAGGGAATGCCGTAGTGCTTGGAGAGCCTGGCTTCTAGGGTGAGACTGTGAAATTAGCCTTCCAACAGAAGCTGCCGGCTTGTATGTAACTGGTTTCTGGCACAGCGCTCTGTGGTAAGGTGCAAAGCAGCTCTCCTGTGGTTAGCAATAGTTTCCTGACTCCAGCTGTCTGAATCGGCCAGGAACTGTACTGCAGATTGTCACATCTGAGCTCACCATCTGCCCTTCTCAACAGTTTGTTAATGCCACTTCATTGAAACTCTTCCTATATAGTAAATGTGGAACCACCCCCGCCAGCTGTACAGCATTTGTACACTCAGGTGTGACTCACCCTTAGGCTTCCCAGTATGGTGCTGCTTGCTGGCATTCAGCATTGCCTGCTTTTTCTGTACCTCTGTGATTGAAAAACCTTGAAGATAAAATAGAGTTTGTCACCAGCAGGTAGGTTATCATTTTCTATCTGATGGGAAGACACTGGCATAGACAGTAAGGGAAGTATGGGGGTAGGAAAATGCCTGAGGTGGGAAGTCACAAGCAAAAATTACTCCCAAAGCTGGAAGGGGCACATACTGCTCCCCCCAAGCCTGCGCTGCACTGCACAACCGTACCTCTCATGCAAGGTTTACTGCCTGCCCTTTCCCCCTATGCTTTGCTGGGTGAAGAACCAGTTGTGATTCCAATCTCAGTAGATCACACATGTCTGAATTAAGCAGGATTTGGACCAACAATGAAAACCCTCTCTCATAATGAGAACCCTTGACTGAACCTGTTTTGTATAGATATTGCCAAGTTGGGCGCTCTCACCATACTGCAAAATAACGGAAGCCGTGTGTAATGTATTGACTCTTTTGTCAGCGCTGTCTGGACTCATTAAAGACCCATCAGCCTCCCTGAGGACATGCTGCAGTGTTGCTCACAGGGGTTTGTTTGTTTGTTTTTTTAATTGCACAGGTTCATTCAGAATGTGCAGCTCAGCAGCCCAGTGTTGGACTGGTGCATGGACTGGCTTCCCCCACTTTCACTCCTATGCATTGGCTGGTGGAAAAAAAAAAAACAAACCATGAACCACCTCAAAAACCCACTGCTCAGAGCACTGCTCTTTCCATACCTGTCTCCTGGTCAAGCTGAACCTGTCTCCTTTCATTCTCAAATGCCTTCAGCCAGCGCTGTTTCTGCTCAGGCTTTTTTGCACAGAATAAGTGGACTTCCTCAGTGTCTCGGCAGTGCAACTTAAATGCATTTTTCACACTGATATTGAAGTCCTTGTCCTTCCCATCTTCTACATCCAGTATTTCCATATCATCCATGTTGATCCGACTCTTATAATACAAGATGTCCCGACGCAGAAGGTCCTGTAAAAGAGATCACACAGACTCATACAGATGTTACTGTTTCCTGTCCTCTCTCTTCCTAAAACATTCATTTTCTTTGACATGATGAAATATTTAATCTTCTTGGCAGTCGTTAACAGTCCTGTAAGAAAAAATTGGTACTGGATTTGAATCTATAGAATTGCGGAGTGCTAAGCTCCTGTGGACACAGTTGGCAGTGAGGGAAATCACATGGTTTCTTCAGTGGTGGGGTGAGCATTGGCTGGCAGCTACAGTTGTGGGATATCAGCTGCCCTGAAGAGCTCTGAATGAGAAGCAAGCTTCTGTCACTGCACATGATCCCAAATCCTCATTAAGCCAGCGTCAGAAAATAGTGTTTGATTCCTACAGTCCTAGTTAGCCGAAAAGATCCTAATTGGCTTTCGGTTCTGTGTTGACAATGAAAAGTAAATTTGAGAGCAGTGATAAAACAGTGAGGGTCTCATGCTACCTGGAGGTATCTCTATGCCGTGGCTCTATGAAGGAAGATTTCTTTCACTACTTAGGTTGTGAAAAATAGCACGGGCTGTACATACAGCCTATTGCATGTGATGTTAATATGGTCTTACAGACTGTCAAGGCCCACAGCTCTTCATCAAAGCTGCAGTTACCTTCTGAATATGGTATTAATGTGATGTGGCAGCACAGTTGAAAAAAAAAAATATTGAAAGTAAAATGGGTGACAATACTCAAGTTGTGTAAAATAAATCCATACACTAACCCTACAAGCGGTGCATTGCTTTCCTCTCTTGCTATGGGGATTAGGCCAGTAGTTCGTTCCTGGAGCGTACGAGGTGCACGGAACACCCCAGAATATCAGAGAAAAGGCTGCAACAAACGCACGTAAACATCTCTGGGCCAGAAGCACGTACGGTGCTGGTACGTATTAATGAAACAAAGGGGAGAGAGGGAACTCGCTCACATTCTTTAGCATTGTAGTAGATAGCATTTGTGCCTGGCTGGTGACCTTACCTTCTTGCAGCAGACAAGCTGGTGATCGAAGAGAAAGAACATCCTCTGTTGACTCTTGGCTTGAGGGTGGGAGATTTTGGCTAATTCCCCAGAATAGATGAGTTCTGAGCTTTTGACTAGGACATCTTCACCCTGAGAACAGCACAAAGAACAGGTTGGTCTCAGCCATCTGAAAACGGGACAAGAAATAAGACTGCAGTCTCTTAAGAAAACCTCAGCTTGGCTGCGGGGCCTGAATTCCTGCTAACAAAACTCTCCTCTGGGAATGAGGGGGACCCTCTGTGCCGGGGGGCAGTCCTTGTCACATCAGGGAGACACCGTGCCCTTGGCACCCAGGGAACAGGAACTGAATTGGATAAAAATGGTAGTGTGTTAAAATGAAAAAACCTCCTTTTTCCAGGGAGTCTGCTCAGGGCAGCTGATCCACCCGTGACATTAAAGGAGGCACATAAGCAGAGAGCTGAGAATTTGGCCTGACACCCTTAGGGACAGAGACAGTCTGGTTTTATTCAGTCTAGGATTTAGAAAATTAGTAGTTTTCTTTATTTAGCAGGTTTTTTATATTGAGTCTACAGGGAACCTTGGCTTCCTTTGTTGCTGTATCAGCTTGCCTTTCTGCAAGAATATTGTGGCTTATTAAGCATTAAGGGGCAATTCTGCCCATCTTGACAGTCTGGAATCACTCAAGAGAAAATGGAGGCCAAGAAGGAAACAATAGGATTTCACCAACCTACAGGCTAATTTTATTCTGCAAGGAAAATGGGGAAGCAAAAATCCCAGGGAACATGCAAAGGCAGCTGGTCTAGCTGGGTTATGTGCTAGACCATTTCAGTTGTACTAAAAGATCACGTTGGTTTAAATAAAAAAAAACAAAAAACAAAATGAACAAAAAAACCCACACAAACAGGGGCCGCAGAGCCGAGGTAGGATTAGCTAGCAGTGCTTACGAAGAGCTTGCTGTAGGCAGAAGCTGTTGGAGGACGGAGAAGAGGGACAAACCAGAACATTCATTTCATGGGCAAAGTCAGTCTCTTACCTCCCAGTCTTCTATGGAACTCTGCCACTTAGCAATTTTGTCAATGTTCTCCAGCCGCCGCTTTCTCTCGTTGATGAGCTGAGCAACGTTCTTCATGGCATTTAAGGCAGCTTCGACATCTTTAAAATCCCTAGGGTAGAGCAGAGGTGTTAGGCGTGACAAAATGACACGTGCTTATTGTACCTACACTCCAAAGGAGCACAGTCTGGCATGGCCCAGGGCTGGAGAGCAGAAAACACGAGTTTCACTTGCAGTTATCCCAGCTGGTTTATACTGGAAGTCAGAGGTACGTGTTTCTGTGGGCAGCTTTTCAGACACGTGCTGGATTTGAGGCACAGCTTATAGTCTTGTAACAAATCCAGGCCCAATGTGTGGAAGGGAGGGGGGTGAGCAATCAAATTCAGCCTCAAGAGGTGTAAGTAGGAGATGCTGGAAGAATCTCCAGGGCTTTCCCAGCCTTTATTTTCTGCAACATAATACAATGTATTGTTAATGCCACTGTTTTCATAGGGGGGCTGGTTCTGTCACGCATAGGTAAGGCAGTTCCGCAATAACTGGCTTCATTTCAAACAGGAGCTGATGGTTTATCTGGAAGGGCAGGACAGAAGCTGATCTCCCCTCCTCCACACACCATCTGCTACTACCAGTTACTTGTGCTGAGTTCAGAGTTGCTGGGAAGGAGCTGTTCTGCACAACTTGTCACTAGTGCAGCTTTGAAAACCTCTGTGTGCTGCATTATGGAGCGTTCTGTTGAGAGGTCCGCTCCAGAACACCGTGCTTACAGATTTAATAAGAGATGCGTAAAACCATTCTGAAAAATTGCAGTGCTGTCATTAGGAAGGTAACATTAAGTCAGGCTGCAATGGACCAATAGCAACACTTCAATAGTGATTTTTCATGTTTTATTTCTGTAGCTAATTATTTCAGATGCTTGATTAAGTGAGTAGTTACTTGAGCTGAGGACAGTGCCTTCACCCTGAAACGGAGCAACAGATTTGGAGGCCTTTGAGCTTGTGCTGGAGAGGTACTGAGCACGCGTGGCTGGGCTGCTGTAGGCCACAATTTCCCACTGGGGAAGCACTGGGCAGAATTCAAGACTACCAGTCAGCCCTGACGTGCTATGGCATAGTTTCATGGATATTTGGGGTATATTCAACCAGTGCTTTTGGAGAAAAGTTTTAAACACCACCAGAAACAAATACTTAACTCTGAAGTACGTATGTGCTGGTATCACAGGTATGCAGGCCAAATAAAATAGGAAAGTACCTCTGTGAGGTGCACCTTGCAACTGTAGTTCTTGTAACAGAACAGCAAAACCCAGTTCTGTTGTAATGGAAAATGATGTATTTGATAGAGAAATACTTCTTTTTCCTATTTTCTGCAAGGTAACACAAGAATTGTGGCATTGGCTGCTTTTTTGCAGGCTGCCCTCAACATATGCTTCTGTGTTAGTCCGTTTCCACAAGACCAGTCTCGTTCCTCCCCTCCCCACCACGCTGACCCACCTGTGTTGGGGGTTGGTGTATTTGAGGAGTTCCGCCAGCTGCAGTGGGTATTTGCAGATCTTCTGCACGGGAGTCAGCAGAAACCCATCCAGGGAGATGTCGATCATCTTCTGCAGCAGGCGGCAGGCTTCGAAGAAGTAGACGTACTTGTTGACTTTGGTGAGGCGGGACAGCTCCATGCAGGCGTTGGGGTGGTTGTTACAGTACTCAGAGTATATCTGAAACTCTGTTTGCTGCAAGGGAAATGGAGGGATTTACTGCCCGTGTTCTGCTGGGCGACAGCCTGGCTCGCACCGCTCTGGGTGGGTGCCCTGTGTGGGGCCTACTGTGTCACCTGGGGTTGTTGGGTAATTTGTGTCCTCCCCAGATCCTGGAGCCCTAAAGCTGGGGACGGGCAGGGAGTATTACAAGTCACAGCACGTGCAGCTTGTCTGAGAGACCGAGACATTTCCGTGGATTCTGGCCCATGCTCAGCTGAATGTTTCTAGTGACTGGATCAGCAGTTGCTGATCCTGCACTGACCTGAAAACACCGTGGATGTAAACTCAGGAACAGCTCGACGTTTTGGAATAGTCCTATGTTTTTGCCTAAAGTAGCATGGTCTGGCAGGGAGCGTAGTGCTCAGAAGCTGAGGCACTTGGAAAACATTCTTTCCACAGCCACAAGAGCTAGAGGATGTTTGGTTGGGAGATGGGTAATGGGGGGGTGGTGGCATTTAATTTGTTTGGGTGGGTTTTTTTAAACAGCACTTCAGTTCTGTCAGATCAATTTCTAAATCCTCTGGCTTAATCCATGCCCTTTCCCATGAAGTCAAATTTACTTACATATTCCAAGAAGCATGAGCCGACCTCACTCAAATGTGGGTGGTCTTTGTTGAATTTCTTCTCTAGTGCTTTAACAAATTTCTTCTGGCACCTGTAGATGTCCTCAATGTTCCCAAAGATTGTCTTCAGCTGCTCTTCTGTAAACATGTCAGCTCTTTTGCGGCACTGCTTGATGTAACCCTGGGAGGAAACCAAATTGGGAAGCTTCCTGGGCATTTGCTCTGTGGCCTTTCGTTGTCAACAGAAAACCCCACGGACTGTAGGCAGTCGTACACCAGGTTCCTGTACCCTCCTCCCGCATAGGTGCATCCATGCATTAGCTATTATTTCCTCTATACCACCGGGTAGATCACTGCCTTAAACGATACTGAAATCCATACTTGAAGGAGTCCCAGAGCTGCTTTCTGTCCTGTTAAAGACACCTTTACCTGTCTGTGGGCTATGGGGAGTTCTGACCCCAGCACTCATCCACTGCTAGATTTAGGCCAATTAAATCCAGTTGTGGGTCTGGTTTGGATGCTTGTGATAGGAAATGCCTGGTGGACTCAAGGGAGAAGGAGGGCACAAAGAACATGGAGGGACGCTGCAGGAGGAAAGGCTCATTTGTTAAGCATGTGCTGCTTCACCCGGCTGTCTCTCCTGGAAGGCACTACATTTTTGTGTCACTTCAGAGAAAAACTGTGTTCCTACAAAACTCTCAGCAATTACCTTCACTTACCCCAGTGTACATGACAGCGTATCTCTCCTGGAAGAGGGGTCGCAACGCTCAGCATATTTGCAAGTGAAGGATCTAATTGGCTGAACATCCCCCAGTTATTTGGATCTGAGCATGACTCGCCTGAAGGCTGGAGTTGCTGATTGTATTACCTCAGAACATCTATTAAAGAGGACAGCAATCCTAGACATTTACTTTTCTCTGGCTTGGGAAATTCAATTAATTCCATTTAATCAGAGCCCAAGTGGGTGCTCCAAATACAGAGGCGTTTGGGATACTGCTGAAATGAATTGTCTTCTGCTTTCTGAGCATGCAGCATCATTTAGCAGAGCAGGCTCTGATGGAAATACGGCCTCATTTTCAGAAAAGTTACCTGCTTAGGGTCGCTCTCTGGGCAAGAACGGGACAACTCTGTTGTCCTTCAGACAAGTTCTTACATTCACTTCCCTCTCTGTTCTGTTACCTCACAAATGTCCTTCAGGTGCTTGATGTAGTCTCTCTCTGTGCTTATGATCTCATTGATGACATTGGTCCTCATTTGATCTTTGGTGGTCTGCCCCATTCCAAAGCGGCGGGTTCCACTGCTGGAGTCGTCTTCTTTGCCACCCTCTACCTTCAGGGGATAATCTTCCATGGGCTCATCCTGGTTTACTCGGAGCTGTGCCAGACACAAAATGTTCACCATTTGTATTGCTAAACACAACTCTTCCAAGGGAAAGAAGTTTGGGACAGCTGAATGAATGGCAGACAAAGACTGAGCGAGGATAAGGAGTGAGGAGGGCTGCCACAGGTGTGCTACTTGTTAACGTGTTTTCCCCGTGGGGAAGCTACGGCCAATGGTCAGTTTTGGGAGGGCACTTTCAAGCCACATGACAGCTGCTCCTAGTGTGTGCTGTGGGTGGTTTTAAGCAGGCGTCTCTTGTGGACAGAAGTCACAGGAATGATGCAGAGTCCTCCAGGAGGAACAGATACGAAATCAGGACAGGAGATGGTTTATCAAGTGAAATCTGCCTAGGTACTTGTGAGGGGGTGAGAAGGGAGGGAGGAGGAAACTCGTAAATAGTTATTTTTGTATATAGCTTTGTTGTTGTTCTCATGCTACAAGTAACAGATGGTCTCTCAATATCTTAAAGAGAATTTGTTGTTAATGTAAAAGCAGATACAGATGCCAGTGGGATATAATGTGGTAAGGAACAGCATTACACTACAGGGCTGTGTGTGAAACTCGGGGTTCCTTCACAGTGCCCATCAGATGGCAGCACAGCGTGAGCAGAGAGCACCACCACCGTCCCAGAGCCTGTGCTGTCAACAGCAGCAGAGTACCTTAGGTAACAGCAGGCAATGATGGGTGCATTTCACTTACTTAGGAGCTTTCTTTTATGTCGTAGGATTGTAGCTCAGAGTGCTCATGGGAATATTTTGTACACAAATCAGCACAGAGAAGAGAAAAACACTGAAGTAGGAACGTGCTTAACTATAGGCATTTTTAGTACAATGACACAGAACTGCTTTAAACTTTTAACGTGTTTCTTCTGGGCAGGATTACTTACTACTTGATACACAAACCACAAATGTCTACATCTAAAAACCAGTGCACACTCATCCCATGTCAACATAGGCACAGATCACATTTACTCACTGTTCACAGCTGGTGAAGACCTCAAGATGTGCAATCCTGGTTTTCCTTCACTGTGAGCAGAACAACACTGGCTAGTCTTAAACTCAGACCTTGCCCTGAAAATCATGTGGGGTAACTGCAAGACCTGCAGATTTATCCCAGCAGTAAGCTTGAGACCCAGTGATAGTTATCAGGAAATCTTCACTCAGATGCTTGAGTAAGTGTTGTAATTACTCTGCTAAAAGAACGTGTTACTCTGCATCCCCAATGGCTCAAACTAGTCTTCTTTCCCCTGAAATCCTGTCTCACAGGGTTTTGCCAGCCAGGACAATGATTCAACTTATTAGTAACATGAAAGAAAAAAAGGCCTGGACTGTGAAAAAAGCAGTTCCATCTCCACCAGTGCTGAGAGTTTGGTCCTAGTTACCTTACTTGCCAAAACATCCACCGTTTGTGACAGTTATCCAGCTGAGACCGTCTCCTGCAATCTATAACAAAGCATTTCAAAACTTTTACAGCGCTATCTGTCCCACTCCTCTAAGGACTTTTGCTACAGACACCAGATCACTTTAGATCACCTCCTTTCATGCTTCACCTGGTTTTGCTCACTTGTGATCTGAAGGGACCTGGATAAAGAGCTAAAGGGCTGAGAACCTCTGCCCTTGGCACCTCATTGCCTTGGCAGTGCTGAGGAACCTGCCTTGAAGCGGTGAAAGCAGAGTCAGGCATCCACACCAACAGTCACAGCCCAAAGAAGGGAAAAAAGCCCTTCTCACAGCAGGAACGGAGCGCACAGCAGTTACCCAGGCTCTTGTTTCATGCCCTCACTTGCACACAGAATTCAGATGTGTTTCAGAATGCTCTGCTGGAAATTAATCCAGCCTTTGTAGTATGCAGCTAGGACTGCCTGGGCTGTTCTATGTAGCTATTTCTGTACGGTCTTTGTAGCTGGCACCAGGGGAGAGCTTTGACCTACGAGCCTTGGCCCAAAAACATCAAGAGTGTCATATCTACCTCCTCATCAGTTGTCCCACATGACCTCCAAGATTTTCTGTGGTTTTCTCCTCCATTTTTAAATGCCTGGCATACTATGCTGTGTGGTAGCTCAGTTGAAAACTCCAGGCCTAAGAGAAGGTGTGTGCGTGAGTCAGGTGGTTACGTACTTTGGCACGTGGCATTGCACTGGACCCAGCACCAGATGGAGAAAGCTAAATTTGGTGCCATGCTCATCCATACTGTCTGAAATGGGCACTAGAGTGAAGACCCCTGACAGCTGCATCTGAGATTTCTCTAGAACAGTATTTGTTGCACACTCCTGAAGGAGATGCCATGTGCTTGGGCACAAACTAGCCAATACACATATGGGTAAGCCAGAGCCCAGGCTGCCAACCACCATGCAGGGCAGCTCCCCAGCTGGCACAGCTCAGCTTAGCTCCAGAGTCTGGAACTGAACCACCCTTGCCCTCATTTACTCATGTAAAGAGGGACTTCTGCACACTGGTGGCAGCTCAGCCAGGAGGGCCTGATGTACCTTAGCCATGTGTAGAGCAATAGTAACAAAGACATGTTGAACCAGCTATTTCTAGCAGTGAAAGTGCTCAGAAGTCACTACAGAACACTGACCCTGGAGAAAAAGAACAAACACTTGGTGCTAATGGAGAGGCGTAAAGAGACATCACGCTCTTACCCGTACAAAGCTGGCTGGAAACCAGCCTTCACTGTCCAGAATCCTCCCCCACCACCACTCCTTGTTGGTAGCATCCATTACTTCAATGACATCACCGGCCTTGAATCCCAGCTCTTGGTCATCCATGGTGACATGGTCCCAGAGGGCTTCTGCATACACCACGCTGCCATCACTGATGAGCTGTGGACAGAGCAAGTCAAACGGTCAGCTCCCCCCAAGAAAGCAGCGCAGGCAGCCAGCGTGGCTGCAGCTTCAGCACCATTGCTGCTGGGCCAGGCAGGTGTTGATAACCCTTCACTCCCCATGAGCACCGTGAAAAGCAGTTGGTGCTAGTCTGGCAGTTGCTGTGTCTGACCTTGCTCTCAGTAGCATTTATTGAGAATCACTTGGACACAGCACGTTTACTGCATAACAAACATAAATTTGATGCTCTGGAATTTCTTGTTGGTGAAATGCCTCAGCCAGCAAACAAGGCTCAGTGGTGTGTTGTTGGTGGAGGATGCTCTTGTGCTGCCAGCGCAGCCCTGCTTTGGAAAGCCTTGAAATAAATCCTCGAGCATCGGTGTGTGGAGACATCCTTCAGAGCAGAAAGTGTTCTGGGGCCTCCGAGCTAGTCTGGGGTGGATGGAGCCTTAAGTCTTAAAGGTGGCCAAACTTAGCACTTAAGCTGCTTAAAATAAGTCTCCTGGAGGGTGTAAGTAATTATGCTGAAGGACAATGGTTATTTACTACACATCCCGTAGAGGGCCTATGCCAGGAAAAAAGGTCACCTGACAGTTAAAAAAAAAACACACAATCCCCCCCATGGCTGGAGGCTGTGAGGGGCTCTTGAACACAGCAGTGATTGTGTCCGCGCCTGCCTGACGCCGTTCCCAACCATTCCCACCTCAGCTGTGGTGCAGTGGTGTATCTGCAAGCTGGTCCTGCTCCAGCAGGAGTGCCTGCCTGACGCCCGCAGGTTTATCACGTCAGAGTCTCCTTTGAATGTCAACAGCTACAGAGCACACACGCTTCTTGGGGCCTGAGCGTGACTGGGGCTGTCTGAACGCCAAGGATTTCCCCAAGAAGGCAGCATGTATCCTGAAGTCCTGCTAAAAAGGACTTCCTCATTCACCCTGGAGTGGCAGTGAAGCCCTATTTATTTTTCTCCAGGAAAATGGTGCTACAATAATTTCTAGGAAGACAACAGAAAGAGCCGTCTATGAGGCACAAGGTAGAAAGACAACCTGCACAAAACCCACCACAGAACATCTCACCATATTGCAGCAGTATCACCGCAGCCACGTAACGCACGTGTCATCCATGCTGGGTACCTTAGTTGGCTCGGTCACACAGTTAGTTACTGCTCTGGGTTACTCATTTGCCACTCCTCCAAGAAGAAAGATGCGCGTTGTAAAAGAACGCTAGGATAACGCGAACACAGTAAATCAGGAGAGAGTTAACGAGGCATTTGAAAGGAAATTCAAATACAGCCTGCCTTCGGGTAGCAAATGCCCCTTCGTTGAACCAGAAACAGCTTAACACACACAGTGTTTCCACTTCAACAAAAAACAGGATGATGGGGAAGGGGAGGCTAAGAGGTTCCCACTTAACTGCCTAGCCAGTGTGTCGGCACTCCCCACACTGCACCCCACGGAGCTGGGAGCATCCTTACTACAGGTTTCTGCTCTTCACAGAGGTGAGCAGTCGCTGTGGAGAGACCCAGCAAGCAGGGAACGTAAGGGACATGCTGCTGCCATACAGCCGGCCAGTGGCATGATGGGAAAATGGTTGGACGAGGCCCTGAGCAACCTGATCTAGTTGGAGATATCCCTGTTCCTTGCAGGGGGGTTGGACTAGATGACCTTTGAAGCTCCCTTCCAGCCCTAACGATTCTATGATTCTATGATTCTAAAATAATCCAAGAGTCTTGGATGGTGTCTCACTAGTCTAAGCTCCTATAGCAAGGGCAGGCTCTGATCACAAGGCAAGTGGAGAAGTAGTATGATGAGTCTCAGAAACCCAGCCATCGAGAGAGTGATGAATGCAGCGTGCCACGGAAGCAGCTGCGCCCAGGCGGATGGCAGGTATTTGCCCAAGTGAGCCGTGGGTGGAAAGGACGTTTGGCTTGATGGTTAATGCGTACAGCTGTTGGAGCTACGTGTGGTGCTTTCTACGCGTAGTTCACTCAACAGCCATACTGCACGGAGTTTGATAGGCTTGAAGCATACTCGGTGTTATGAGTAAACCCTTTATTCATCATTCCGAAACACTTGTAGGTCTTGGCAGGCTTCTGGAAACTTGGAGGTTTTTTAGCTTTTTAACATAAGGTAGTGGTGACTGGAGCAGAGAAGACAGTGGGTGTAAAAGTGTTTATTTTTCCAAAATCAGCTGTCAGACTTCAGGTACAGGACAGCAGCTGGGCTGTGGGTGACGGTGGATGTTCACTACTGTGGGAAAAGAGCTCTGCTGCTGCTTTGAGCATTCAGCAGGCTTTTCAACACACCAAGTGTGACCAGCACACAAAGAACATGGCTGTTCTGGAGCTAAAATACCTTTGCTCTGTGCTTAAATATGCCACTCAGAATCAGTGCTCTGAGCATGACGTGGGAGCTGGTGCACACGCCGTGACTGTGACCAGAGAGAAACTAAACCGACTTCCTCTGTAGCGTTTTGATGATGGCACAGTCAGAGCACTGATGATGTGAAGGCACTAATACCTTACAGTACAAGCTGTCAGATCTCAGTGTCTTGATGAGAAGACAAGAGACCACGCCTGACCTAGCATTGTTGGGGTTGATACACTCATTTCGCAAGGGGACAGAGCCACATGGTGCTTCTCAGCATCACCAAAAGCCATGGGGCTGACTAGTGAATCCTCAGCTGGTATTTTAATCCATCCACTAATACCAGTGTCTTAAATTTTCTCTATTCAACAACAGCCATACTGTGAATATGATATGCCAAGTACAGAAAGTCACATCTGACTCAATCACCAGCCTGGCCAAACAGGCAGAGGCAAGCAGACAAGCCACTACCACAGATGGTTCTCGTGCAAAGGTGTGACTGAAAAGACACTCGAAACACAGGCCAGGCTTTGACTGACACTGAACACCATGTTTGTAGGGAGGAATGATCAATAGGGAATAAAGCAAGAAATAAAGAGGAAAAAATACTTTATATACGCTTTGGATTGTCTCAGCTAATTGAGTCCAGCACCACTTGAAACACCTCCATGGCCACAGGCTGAGGGGCTCTGCCCGTTCTCTTCCCTGCACCGCTTCAGTCTGTGCTTGTGCACTGGGGATGGGGAGGCCGCGGAGCAGACACCAACGCTGAGGAGTGCTTAATGAGCACCCCGCTCAGTGCTCATTTTCCTGTCAGCCCTCCATCTGTACCAGGCTCTACCTTATGCTATTTTTTTTCAATGCATCCAGTCCAAGTCCTGAGCAGATACAGAAATACCAAATTTACCCAGTGTAACAATCCCGTTCCCAGAGCAATCACTAAAGGGTAGCTCGGAGCCAGGACTGACAGTTCCCATGGCACAGAAGCACCTACGGGACTGCACGTCACTGCAGCAAGCAGAGCTGCTCCAGCTGGGGCAGAGCATGCCGCAGCGTGCCCTCCGAGGAGCATGCAGTTACTGGGGAAAAAAGGGTTAGGACTCTCTCTCCCTGTCCCAGGAAGGATAAAACACACCAGATTTCTCTGCAAATGCATTAGAGGATGGTGCAATGAGCCAGCTGTACTGGGAGAGCTGCTCATCTTCCACAGGAGCACACACTAAAGAGAACGTTCACCATTTCCAGGCATGGCAGCTCCGAGGCTCAAAAGGCTCATCTTACCACAGGTTTTGATCTTTGCAATTAAAGCAAGGTTTGAACAACAGCTGTTTATTCCCATATGAAACAACGTTTATGTGCTGGCTTTGTAATACCAAGGTCAACTCAGTACATGTTCTTGAAGAGCCCCAAACCAGTCTCTAGACGAGAAACATTAGAAGACAGAGAATGCAAACCCCCAGCCACCCTGCAGCTGCTCTAGCTGCTGCAGCTGGCAGCAGAGAAAACCAACAAAACTTGGCTATTTTTCTTTGTTTGTAACAACGTTTAAGTTTGCAGACAGCACCGTTTGCCACGCAAAGGCAGTGCTAACACTGATGCTTTGAAACCGAAAGCTGCCTGCAGCTCTCATGCTGCTCTGGCATTGCTGTGCCGCTGCAGCTGCTTTCCCAGCTGCCTGTGCAGCATCAGCCCTGCTCCTCGTTTCCAAACACGGCGGAGGTAAGGGAAGGCGCCGGTAACGCGGTGCTTGTGCGGGTTGCTCAGCGCGTCACAGAGAGATGGAGCGGGGAGGATTGCTGCAGCACTCCTCGGAGCAGTGCCTGTGCACAGGCTGCTGGAGACACAGCCAGGGCTGTTGCATGTAGCTGCCCGAATTAAGTCCATTACACACAGGCAAACAGACATGGCATGGCAAGGCCCACGTCTGCGGGCTTGTTTGCATTCCAGCTGCTCGGTCCTGGTTTGTCTCGGGCTGGACACCTTGGCATAATTACCTCATGTGTCCTGCTCTTGTTCTGACAGGAGCTCCAGGCAATATTAACAGAGATAAAAGATCTCGACAACTTACAGAGGGCGCAATGAAGGCTCCTTTAGGAAATATTTATCTTTGAGCTACTTGGTTCTAATTGATTACAATTTGAATAGCTTTCTCTTGATCATGGCAAGTACATTGGATGATAGAGAGCTAAAAAATGAACCCAGGAGCATCAGAAGATACTGGGAACAGGGCAGGAGGTGCCAATAAAATGGAATTTACATTCAGCTCTGTGACCCTAAAACAGACCCCCTCCATAAAGAACGCCTGAAGCCAAGCCCTTCCTGGTGAACTAGAATAGTTGCTGTGAAGCCGGCGTTCACTGCCCGGCCGCCCAGAGCTCGTGCATTACAGACTGAAGATGAACTGGGTCAGCACATCAAACATTTAAACCCTGTGGCAGCCCTGACCCCAGAGGCAGAGCATACCCCAGCCCAGTTCCTTCACCATCACTTTGCTTCCAGAGCTCCTCTTCTGCCTTCTCTCACGCAAAGTGCAAATACATATTTTTCCTGACCGTGGGTAGAAGCCAGCAAGCCTCTCCCTTGAGCTGAACCCACAGGACAGTTTTCAAATCGTCCTGACAGCTCACTCTTGCT